AAGTGTATTTTTTGGTAAATAGTATTCCTTTTAGTGAGTATTATTTTATCTCAATTTCGATAGATCATATTTATATATAAGTATGCATGAAAACATGTCATTACTATTCTGCTATATAATTAATTAGTTATTAATTGTATGTATATATATCTTAGATGTAATCAATGCGATATTAATAATAAGCTAATCAATAATCAAAATATCAAACGTCCTATTGTCGTGTAACAAGAATCTTTACGCTTTATATCGAAGGTAATTTTCCATTATAAATTTGTCTCTTATAAATTGTTTAATGAATTTATTTTAATATTTTAATATTTTAATAGTTAACATTGTATCCATCTCAGGATTTTATTTCTCATAAAATAAAGTGAACAAAAGTAATTTTCTTTCCGTTTTTTTTTCTTTCTTTTTTTTTTTTTTTTTTTTAAATAGACCAATATATTCATAATCCAATTAAGAAATAAGTAGCGATTTCATCAAACAACCCGATAATACTGCGTACAAGCGACTTTTACATTCTATATTAATATATTATTGGAAGATAAATATATAAATATCTCATAATTGATTAAGCAATGCTCATCTATTTTTCATTTTTGTTATATTTTAATTATTCTTTTATATATGATCTAAAATGCTTGCATTGACAATAAAATTTTGTTTTCGTATGAATTACTTCCGTATTTTGAAAATATCATAGATAAAAGATCTCTAAATAAATAAAATATATTATGATGTATATATATATATATTAAAATGTAAGAAAAACGATTAGAAGCAAATGAAAAAATTATTATATAATAAATAATAAATTAAAATATCATTATGAAATAAAATTTTCGACTCGCGTTCCTCGATAAGTATTTTTAAAAATTCTTCCCGATTCCTCGTAATTTTATAAGTTACTTTTAATAAGTAACCGTATTTTTGCTTTAAATAAATTATTTCACAATATATTTGTTATAAATAAAAACACAAATTTATGATTTTCTATAAAATTAATTAACTTTATTATGTTAATTTTATGTTAATTTTATTATGTTATATTAATATTACTATTTATATTAAAATGGATAAAATAAATTTACTAAACTCTAGAATTTTTCTATAACTATCATTAAAATACCTAGAATTTACAACTATTTACAACTATTTATCAAATATATATCAAAAGCTTTCTTTGATATATATATATATATATATATATATATATATATATATATATAGAGAGAGAGAGAGAGAGAGAGAGTA